TCTCACACTCTCACTCTCTCTCTCTCACTCTCTCTCTCTCACACTCTCTCACTCTCTCTCACTCTCTCTCTCTCTCTCTCTACCCTCTGCTAATAGACGCTATCATTAACCCTTTCCTCACAGCAGTTCACCCAAAATTAAAATTCTGTCATCGTTTAATCACTTACACTGCCATTTTTAATGTGTTTTAAAGAAGCCTTTTCTGCTCATCAAGGCTGCATTTATTTGATCAGAGATACAGAAAAAACAGTAATATAGAAAATAATGGTTTTCTATTTTAATATACTTTAAAATGTAATTTATTTCTGGGATGCAAAGCTGAATTTTCAGCATCATTACTGCAGTCTTTAGTGTCACATGATCCTTCAGAAATCATTCTAATATGCTGATTTATTATTTATTAATATTGGAAACAGTTTTGCTTTTTTTTTGGAAATTGTGATACTTTTTTCTGGATTCTTTGATGAATAAAAAGTTAAAAAGAACAGCATTTATTTAAAATAAAAATATTTTGTAACAATATACACTATACCGTTTAAAAGTTTGGTGTCAGTAATTAATTCATTTAAAAAAACATGTTTTTTAAAGAAGTTAATGCTTTTATTCAGCAAGGATGTGTTAAATGAATAAAAAGCGATAATAAAGACTTATATTGTTAGAAAATACTTTATTCATTAAATTTATTCATCAAAGAATCCTGAAAAAAAGTATCACAGGTTCCAAAAATATTAAGCAGCAAAACTGCTTCCAGTATTGATAATAAATCAGCATATTAGAATGATTTCTGAAGGATTGTGTGACACTGAAGACTGGAGTAATGATGCTGAAAATACAGCTTTGCATCACAGGAATAAATTATAGTTGAAAGTATATTGAAATAGAAAACAGTTATTTTAAACGGTAATAATGTCTCACAATTTTACAGCTTTTACTGTATTTCTGATCAAATAAATGCAGCCTTGATGAGCAGAAGAGACTTGTTTAAAACACATTAAAAATCTTACTGATCAGCAATCAGTTTGAACAGCAGTGTATATATCGTTACAAACCTGTATGACTTTAATTCAACACAAATGGAGATACTTAGCAGAATGCTGATGCTGCTCATTTCAATGTTAAACTCCAAAAATGACCAAAAGAAGCTCATCTATAAAGGTGCTATATTCCATGTCTTATGAAGCGGCACAATAGCTTTATACGAGGAAATGACTGAAAATCCTCTCATTCCTGTAATCCTGAGTTATTATTATTAACTAAAACTATTAAAAATGTTTTTAGGAATTGAAATAAAGCTGGAATAATAGAAAATATAAGTACTGAAGTACTGAAATGACAAAAAAAACTAAAAAAGCTACATAGAAATATATAAAAAACTAATAAAAATGACACACATGAAAAACAAAATGACTAAAGCAAAAAATGAAAACTAATGTAAAAAGATATATATTAAATGCTATAATAGTATCTTAATAGTAGCAAATAAGACTGCTGTAGTTCAATTGAAAACATTGTTTTGAAGTGAGTCTGTAGCCAGCACACATTCAGATTAACGGTGGATCAATGATTTTTCAGTGGGAGAATTTTTAATCTTTGGCATTTTATCCACACGTCACACATCACTATTACCTGGAGGATATTTTGAACCAATTACACTAGTAGTTCTGCACTACAGGTTAATTAATGATTCTTATAACCTGTGGTGTGTTTTATGGTGATTGGCAGCTCACAGGAGTAATTATTAGAAGATTCCTCCATGACCTAATCAATGAATGTTCGAAGTCCTTCACATGTGACCAATGGAAACAAACAGGCCTAAATTGTACTTGAATCAATCCAATCTCTTATTTTGCCTACCATCTGCATCTTACATATGCACCACTTTCAAATAATTATATACATACAAATATAGTATTTATAATAAAAAGTATTATATGTGACCCTGGACCACAAAATCAGTCGTAAGTGTCAATTTTTCCAAATTGAGATTTATACATCATCTGAAAGCTGAATAAATAAGCTTTCCATTAATGTATGGTTATGTTATGATAGGACAATATTTGGCCGAGATACAACTATTTGAAAATCTGGAATCTGAGGGTGCAAAAAAATCCAAATATTGAGAAAATCGCCTTTAAAGTTGTCCAAATGAAGTTCTTAGCAATGCATATTACTAATCAAAAATGAAGTTTTGATATATTTACGGTAAGAAATGTACAAAATATCTTCATGGAACATGATCTTTACATAATATCCTAATGATTTTTGCCATAAAAGAAAAATCTATCATTTTGACCCATACAATGTATTTTCAGCTATTGCTACAAATATACCCCAGCGACTTAAGACTGCTTTTGTGCTCCAGGGTCACATATATATATAATAAATTTGACTTTAATCATTAGAATATTACAAGTAAATAAATATGAATAAATAACTATTTGTACTTCTGGTTAGATCTGCTTAAAATACAGATTCTGCTTCTTTATTTGAATCGAATCTATTATTAATATTAAATATTATATATTTAATATAATGTATTATACATCAAATTTAATAATATATTATATATTATATCTTAAAAACGAAACAAACGAAATTGTATTAATGTATGATTTATTGTATTAATACAATCTCTCATTAAAAAATAATATAAAACAGAAAAGTTCTGAATTGTTTGTTACATCATCTTAATAATTACAATACATTTGATCAGGTACATCTGTGAAACTGCTGTCATATATCAAACAAAACAGGATTGCTTTTAGTATTTAACTGCTTTACATAGTTGAACCTTTCTAGTCAAACAAAACATTATCATGGACACTAATGTTTATCATTTAAACCCAGTTGTTCTATTACTGTTCAAACATGACTTGTATAAACGGTACAAAAGCACTAGCAAGGTATGTACAAACAAATGTTGTGAATAAAGATCTATTTCATTTCGACATCAGACGTCGGCACTGGCTTTCGTTCCGCTTTCTTGCTTTTCCTATGAATGAAAAGAAACCGTTTAGATACTTTCTCAAAAAGATTAAGATTAAACAGGGTAAAATGACTGTAAATGGGCATTTTGCTGTCAGCACTTCTTCACATCACGTGATACTTACTTTTGGAGCACAAACACCACGATTGCAGAAATGACAGCACCAGCGAACACAATCCCACCCAAAACACCCACAATCAGCCCTGAGAGAGGAAATATACATGATCAAAACACTCTGAAAATGCTGGGTTAAATACAACCCAGTGCTGGGTGAAATATGGATAAACCCAGCAATTGGGTTGCTTTGACCCAGCGGTTGGGTTAAATGTTTAACCCAACCTTCTGTGCAGTAACCCAACCACTGGGTCAAAACAACCCAATTGCTGGGTTTATCCATATTTCACCCAGCACTGGGTTGTATTTAACCCAGCATTTTTTAGAGTGCATGTTAATGGACTCTTGAAAAAAGGCTTTTTTAATGCACTGATGCAATGAATGATGAAACGTGCCATTATTAAAGCATCAGCAGAACTTTTATGCCAAACCACAATAGTGGCAACAATTAAAATATAAAAAATATTTAAAATGTACCTGCATCAACAGGCTTCTCATCAGGGTTTGGCAGGTCCTCAGCTCCCAGCAGCCGTCCGGATCGTGCTGTGAAAAACCATTATACAGTCAGTGAGTTCAGGACAGTCAGAAGAACACACCGACTGACCTCTAGTGGACAACAGATGAACACACACTCCATCACTGAAGCTTGCTCAACATGTCAGGAAATGATGAAAAACCCAAAAGAAATCATCTGATGTTTTCACCATTTAAAACAGCTGTTTTCTATGTGAATCTATGTTCAAATGTTCAAATCAGTGTCACATGATCTTCAGAATTCATTCTAATATGCTGATTTGCTGCTCAAGAAACATTTCTGATTATTATCAGTGTTGAAAACAATTGATGTTTGTGTGGACTGATACATTTGTGACTCTGGAGCACAAAAGCAGTCGCTGGGGTATATTTGTAGCAATAGCCAACAATACATTGTATGGGTCAAAATGATAGATTTTTCTTTTATGGCAAAAATCATTAGGATATTAAGTAAAGATCATGTTCCATGAAGATATTTAGTAAATTTCTTACCGTAAATATACCAAAACTTAATTTTTGATTAGTAATATGCATTGCTAAGAACTTCATCTGAACAACTTTAAAGATGATTTTCTCAATATTTGGATTTTTTTGCACCCTCAGATTCCAGATTTTCAAATAGTTGTATCTCGACCAAATATTGTCCTATCCTAACAAACCATACATCAATGGAAATATTATTTATTCAGCTTTCAGATCATGTATAAATCTCAATTTCGAAAAATTGACCCTTATGACTGGATTTGTGGTCCAGGGTCACATTTTATTTTTCAGGATTCTTTGATGAGTAGAAAGTTCAAAAGAACAGCATTTATTTGAAATAGAATCTTTTGTAACATTATAAATGTGTCTACTATCACTTTTGATCAATTTAATGTTTAAAAAAAAAAAAAAATATATATATATAAATAATTTGAACCGTATAATATCCTAAAGTTCCTTATAGATAGCCTACTCTAAGTCATTATTTTCACAATTAGTTGACTCAAAAGTCCCAATTTACTGCCTTTTTTTATAGCAGTAATGTTTAGGACATCCTCTTCTTCTCTGTGTTTATTTAACATTTAAAATGAGGCTTTATCTCACTTCTAAAAAATGCTGGGTTGTTTCAACCCAACTTTGGGTCAAACATGTACTAACCCAACTGTTGAGTTAAATTTTTAAATTTTTAACCCAAAAAATTGGGTTAGTCCATATTTGACCCAAAGAAGGGTTGAAACAACCCAGCATTTTGAAGTAACTGGCATCAGTCGAAGTGGAAGAACTGGTCAAAGACGTGGGAACTTACAGAACAAGATCAGTTATTAACTCATAACTTATAACCTCCAATTGTTTGCCATCTTCAAAAAAAAACAAAACAACCTATTTATATACCTGAAGTTTAAACAGTTGTAAAGACACTAACTAAAAAACGAATAAACTTCCAGTGAAACTGAGGGTTTGATTATTAACTCATCTGCACTCTCAGAAAAAAAGGTACAGAAACTGTCACTGGAGCGTTACATTTAGGTACTAATATAGCTTTTGTACCTTAGGATACCGCAACAGTGACAGCATTGTACCTTTTTTCCTGAGAGTGTGTGACTTGTCTAAACAGGTATGGCAAGCCGTTTTAACATTTCATCTATACTTCTTTCCATAAAACAGGACAGGTGCTGATGGCGAAATGAGAGCTGAACTGACCAGCACACATATTGTGACAATCCTCTCGAGAATCAAAACGGTTGGCGTTTCCATTGCAGCCTCTGTACAAGAACATAAGGCACATCTTCTCTTCAGTGTCGTAATAATACATCGGAATGGCAGCGAAGCAGGCGCCTTCGTCCTTTGGCAGAGAGCAGACCTTATCTGACGGACACGAGGGAAAGAGCATGAAAAATTAAACCTCACTTCACTCGTGTCAAATCATCAAATACTTGTTGATTGTTTTACCGTCATCCGGGTAGATCTCGTGAGCTTTGGGCGAGCATGCTTTCACACAGGCTCTATCGCTGCTGAAGCGGTTGCTGCTGCCACCTTCTCCTTTATAGAAGAACGGGACGCAGCCCTGCGACCGCGGATCATAGAAATACTTCAACAGCTTTTCCTTCCCTTTGCCTTCATCCCTGGGCTCTGTGCACCGGGGGCCTGACAAAAGACAGAAACAACTCATTATTATCTCCAGCGTTTGGACACATCGGAATGTTTTTAGTTTTTAGAAGCCTCTACTTAAATGCATTATTATATTAATAATCATTTAAATATGTAAATATTTGCCCTGTGTTCGACTGTAAAGTTGTTTTTAGTTTTTTTTAAACAAATTATTATTATTTTAATAATAATTAAAATATTTTTTCTGTTTTTGACAAAGTTGATTTTATTTTTTTAAACACATTTGTATTATTTTAATAATAATTTAAATGTTAAAATATTTGCTCTGTATTTGACAATAAAGTAGTTTATTTAATTATGCTAATAATTTAAACATTAAAATATTTGTTCTGTATTTGACAATAAATTTGATTTTCTTTTTTAAAAGACATTTTTATTATTTTAATAATTATTGAAATATTGAAATATTTGTTCTTTATTTAACAAAGCTGATTTTAGTTTTTAAAACATAATATTTTAATTATAATTTAAATGTTTAAATATTCTGTATTTGACAAAGTAGATTTTTAAAAAACTATTATTTTAATAATTTAAACATTAAAATATTTGTTCTGTATTTGACAATAAAGTTGATTTTATTTTTTTTAAATATGATATAATAATAAATATTAATATAATAGTAATAATGTAAATACTTAAATATTTTTTCTGTATTTGACAATGTTTTTTAACAAATGATTGATTTAACAATAATTTAAATATTGAAATATTTGTTCTGTATTTGACAATAAAGCTGACTTTATTTTTTTAAATATTATATTATAATAATAAATAAATATTAATATAATAGTAATAACGTAAATACTTAAATATTTTTTCTGTATTTGACAATGTTTTTAAACAAATTATTAATTTAACTATAATTTAAATATTGAAATATTTGTTTTGTATTTTACAATAAAGTTGATTTTATTTTGTAAAAAAGTATAATTGTAATATTAAAATATTAAAATATTTGTTCTGTGCTTGACAATAAAGTTGATTTTATTTTTTTTTGAAAACAAAACTATTATTTTAATAATTAAAGTATTTAAATACTGAAAACAATAATAAAAAAAATAAAAAGTAATATTAAAAGGATGCAAACAGCTCAATCAGATCCATTTTCAGCACGTTAGGCATAAGATTTAAAATAAATGTGTGCATATTGTAAATGAATTTAATGAACTTGGTTTCACTTCCCTGCTGGCCTTTCGGGGAATTCACATATCATCCTCGAATTGTGAAACGTGTGGCTTTGACAAGTGTTTATAGGTTGTCACAGAACAGTAAGGCTATTCAAATAAAATGATTTGAAAACTGATCAAATGCATTACTTTACAGTAAACTGTAGTTCTTTAACTGTTTCTCTATGCCATAATTAAGAAAGAATGTGTGTCCAAACTTCTGAATTGCAGTGCATTAATTGCAAAAGGCAACAGGGATGTCTATTAGAATTATTATCAATATTATCAACCCTTTTAATATAGAATAGACACTTCCTGTAAAGAAAGCATGTATAATAACTCACCCACGGATGAAGCAGAAGCGCCTCTGAACCCCAGAAGCAGCAGAGCGCAGAGTGTCCAGCTCCTCATGGTGGGAGTTTCAGACTGGACTGGGTTTTTGTCGAGTCCTTTAGACCCTCTTATCAGCTCCGTTTTTATGATCAGGGTGTGTTTCTCTCACACTGAGGCCAGTTTCTGTCATAAAATCTTAACTAATACTCTCCCAGAAACCTGTCCACGAGAGCACATTAAACTGAGACATGATTCGTGTGGGTCCGAGGGATGTGGCAGTAGGTGACATTTGTGATTCAATAAACATATTTAATTTGAAAACACCTGATATTTTATTGAAGCAAGTTCTCATTTGCCCTTTGTTTCTCCTGCAGAACCAATGAACTCAAGAGACGCACAGAAAGAAAGAGATAAAGTGCAATGGACAGCTCAATGCAGGACAAACGACAAAACATTACCTCTGATAAATATTTGAATAATAATTAAAATATTAATGTTCACAGCACAAATGACAAAACATTAATTCTGATAAATATATGAAATTATTATTTTAATAATAAATACATTTTAAATAAATATTGCATTAAAATTTGTATTGATTCTAATAAATATAAGTATTTTAATCATTTAAATATTAATGTTCACAGGCCAAATGACAACATTAATTCTAATAAATCCTTATTTCAATAATAATTTAAATATTGTATTAATTCTGATAAATATACAACTATTATTCTAATTATTTAAATATTGAATTAAAAATTGTATTGATGCTAATAAATATTAAATTCTTTGAAATATTTTTTTATTAATAATAATTTAAGTATTTAAATCTATTTAATTAAAATATGTATTACTTCTGATAACAAATTAGTGTTTTAATATTAATTTAAATATTTCATTAAAATTTGAATGAATTCTAATTCAAAGACAAATAATGAATTAAAATTTGTAATAATTCTGATAATTACACTATTGTTTTTATAATTAAAATATTTCACTATTGCATTAAAATTTGTATTAATTCTGATAATCATTTTAACCATAATTTAAATATTGCATAAAATTTTACGCAATACTTCTAATTAAAATACTGTTTTAATGATTTTTCCAAACTTTTTTAATTGATTGAAAAAGTTGTTTTTAGTAACTATAACTGATATTGTCAAAATATCATGATGTTTGTGTCACTGTCACAGTGAAATGAGTCAAAAGGTCATGATTTATTATTCATAATATTTCTTAATAGTATGTAGGCATACAAATAATGTGTGACCACAGAAATCATATTTAGAGAAATGATTAAGTGGTGTGAAACAGCAGCTTCTTTAATATGTCCTAATAAAGAGTACTGCTTTATAGTATAAAAAAAAAAAACGTAATTAAATAATAAAATAAAATTAATCAAAAAAGGTAATAAAATCCAATTTTAATGGGGCACCTCATAAATATTTCCTGGTCTTATTAGCTGGGTGCTCTAAGTACATTAAACACAGGTGTAATTCATTATTATCCGCTATATTAATAGTTGTATTACTTTAAATAGCACTTAGTCTCATCTTAATATTGTGTCTTAATTCAAATGCTTTGCTTAGTCAGGTATAGTTGTAGTGTAGTTGAGATATGAGCAGTCATAATCTCTGCACAATATTCCCTCATTAGTCACGATGGTGTTGACAAACTGAAGGAATAGGTTCAGCGTGTGTTTAGCAACTGAAAGCTCAACAGATCCGCGCTGTGGAAAAACACTCTCGAAGGACGATCTGGGAGTTTTAATGAGACACAGAGGAATAGGAAGCATTCTAATGCACCGTAACAACAGAACCAGTAAACATCTGCTGTTCTTCAAAAAGAAGAATGAGAGAATATGCATAGATTCATCTATCAACGAGAGCAGATTCATATAAATAGATTCTTACAAAAGCAGCTGTACAAAAAAATAAAGAAGTAGCAAAAGCATTTTGAAAACCTGCTGAACATTCACTCGCCCTCAGGCCATCCGAGATTAGGATGAGTTTGTTTCTTCATCAGATTTAGAGAAATCTATATAATAACGCTTCCTCCAGTGCTCTGAATCAGGAGAGAGATCTGCACTGATCAAGCACAGTTTAAAAGCCAAAACAGCTGAGTATAATATGTGACCCTGCAGCACAAAAGCAGTCTGATGAAAAAACAAACTCATCCTAATCTTGGATGGCCTGAGCACATTTTCAGCAAATGTTCATTTTTTGGTGAACTATTCCTTTAAATACACTACCAGTCAAAAGTTTGGACACATCTACTCACTGCCACATTATTTAAGAATAATAGTAAAGTAACTTTTGACTAGTCGTGTGGGTTGTTGACCTGAAAAGACATGTTTAAAGCTCTTGCACACGATTGCATAAGAATGTTCTGGCTCTTTTCTGCAGGTAAAGCGTTGGTTTCAGCAGCCCTTCTCCGCTTGATTCTCAGCCTTTAAAGTTCTGGAAGATCTCGGCCACCTCCAGCCAGCTCCGGAAACACGCCAGACCCTGCTCCCGGATCTGCTTTCGGCCTTTGTCTGTGATCACCTGACCGCTCTCCTTCACAATGACCAGCTTCGGTACGGCTGTGATGTTGTATCTCTTCTTCAGTTCGCTGGAAAACAGCAGAAAACACGTCAACATCACAAACACATGAACCTCAGGCCACGCAACCCACAACAGAGTTACGCTTTGTAGCTAGTTTACATACACACTTCATACAATATAACATCATATATTTCTTCTTCTTTCTGAAACAGCTTTGAATGTGAGTTATTTCAAATCCACATCATTTTGACCAAACGGAAGTTGTTGTAATTTTAAAAGGTATAATGCAATAAAACTAAATAGTAAAATACAGTACAAACAACAAATCTAGCTGAAAATAATAAAGGAAATCAAACCAAACTGAAATTGTTGGCAATTTAAAATGTTCAATGCAATAAATAGTAAAAAATAATATAAATAGCAAAATACAGTAAAAAAATAAAAAAAACTTCCTAAAAATAATAAATGAAATCAAAGGAACCATTGTTTTGACAAAACAGAAATAGCTGCTGATTTAAAGTGTGAAATTCAATAATATATATATAGTAAAATACAGTACAAAAAAACGAAATAAAAAAAATTCTAGCTAAAAATAATAAAGCCATGTATTCATGCTGTTTTTCAAAATTATTAACAATAAAATAATTTTATTTATATTGACCGATATTACAATATATAGCAATAAACTGCTATATATATATATATATATTAGTATACATACACTTATTTTTATCAAAATAAATATTTAAGGTTTCCACAGTAGGGGTTCAATCTTCAACTGGCTGGCAGGAGCCGCCACTGACAGGTCACGTGACCTGCCAGTGGTTGGTGGCAGCTGCCAGCCAGTTGAAGATTGAACCCCCACTATATAATATGAAATGACTAAAGTGTCAGTAACCCACCAGTCGGGATAACAGTTATTTGACCACTTTAATCGGGATAAACCTCCCTAAAACGTATATCATATAAAATGATAGATTCATATGAATATAGCCTATACATAATAATAAAATAATTTATTTTCTTGCAACGGGAGTGGTAGAGAACGCGTTAATCTTTAAGTTTAACAGTGACTGGCTGGATGAGCGGCCAGCGAAGCGTCAGTAACCCACCAGTCGGGATCACGGCAATTTGACGGCTTTAATCGGGATGAATCTTCCTTAAACGTCAATCATATAAAATAATAGATTCACACGAATGCATTAATAATAATAAAACAATGAATTAAATTGTAGTGAGAGTCATATGGAATGCGTTAAACTCGCAGCTCAATAGCAGCTAGCTAGACTGAAGAGTAGGCAACCCACCAGTCGGGATCACGATCATTTGACCACTTAAATCAGGATAAAACCCCCTAAACCACTCGGTTTCCATGCTGTTTTTCCAAAAATAAATATTTTATATTTATATTGGTAAATATAAATATATAAAATTGCAATTGATATATATATAATTTATGTATATTTTACATTTAAAATGTATAATGCAATAAAAATGTAAATGCAGTACAAAAAAAGCTAAATACAAAAAAGGCAATCAAAGGAATCATCATTTTGACCGAACAGAAATTGTTGCCAATTTAAAATACATAATGCAAATGCAAAAATAATAAAACTATATTTTCAATGCTATTTTTCAAAACAGAATAACAATATAATATTTTTTATTTATACTTACTGATTTTACAATGAAGTAATAATAGCAACTTTTATATATCTCTATAGATGGATAGATTGATCAGCAAATACTATGTAGACTTTCAATTAAATATGAAATCATAAAAGCTGCATGCAAAATAATTATTGAAGATTCAGCACACATTTAGATGGAGTTTAACACCTTTTGCTCAATGAATTTCAATAACTAGGTCAGATTAAATTGTATAAATAATTACAAAATAATTTTACAGAGAAACGCATAACATATTTTAGACTTGAGCATAATTAGAGCTATATATTTTATATGCAATAGAAATTTCCAGGCTTGAAAATCACATTTTTAAAATTCCCTGATTAGTGAAACTACAGACTGTCTATTTATAACATAATCCTCCAAGTGTGTGTGTGTGTGTGCATTAAACCTCTTATCAGGGACAGACTGAAAGCTGTAACGAAAGGTTGCTGCGGCAGATGCACAATAACTCATGCATGCATCCAAACGCAATGCAACTCACTGTTTGTAGAGATCCGTCCAGGGCAGCGCCAGCCAGTCCCCGTGCATGTCATGATAATACTCCACCATGTCTTCTGCGGATTTATCCGAGGATATGAAGACGATCTCAAACTGTGCAGGAGGCTCGCGCTCCTCCACCAGCTCGGTGTAGAAATCACACAGCAGCGGGGTGAAGTCTCGACACGGAGGACACCATCCAGCCGAGAAATACAGACCGACCACTTTATTCCGGAGAGCTTGCTCTGGATCCACCAGATCTCCTTCTTTATTCACCAGAGTCCGGCCTGAAAACACCTCGACCATCGCTGGAGATCTCACCTGTGCGCTCAGGAGTGTCTGTGCACCTGGATGAAGTGCCTAACTTACTGTGAAAGTCTTGAAAAGTGTGGGGAAACACCTCTGCTGCGCACTCTGGCGGGTCTTGTGACAGCTTTGCTCGCGGAGACGCGTGTTTACAAATCGCTTCCTGCTCATGAATATTAATGACGCACCGTGACGTTCGACTACTGATTTGCTGACAGCTGCGTTGGAAAGCAGACGCTGGTCACAGATGGTTTAACTCATGAATATAAATTAGATAAGCAGTAGACGCTCAGGGAAGGTTGCCGAGCAACGAGAAGCTACGTAATTAATATTCATTAGATAAGGGTACGCCGTAGCCAGAGCCGCTGTACAATTCGTAATCAACCTCATTACTGAAAAAGTTCAGTTTTAATGATTAAGTTCTAATTACCCTAATATAAATTAAGGTAAACAGAAATGAAGCAGCCCTTAGAAACTGAAGTGAACGAATTCAACGATAATTAACGATAATCTCGGGTAATGTTAATTATTAATTAGTCCAAACTCAAATATTCATATAATAATTTCTAAAAAATAAAAATTCACGCTTTATATATATATATATATATATATAAAAACGTGAATTTTTTTTCTGATATTAATACACTTTAATATTCTAAAAAAATTAATATAATTTCTCAAAAATAAATATTCACGCTTACATATATAATTTTTTCGGACATTTCTAATTTTTTCCTACAATTTTCCCAATTTTTTTTTTTTAAATTTCATGGCATAAGGAGGCAGTCATTCGGATAAAGATTCAGACACACATTCACATTAACTTTTTTTTAATCTTATAAGGATAGACTTACATAATAATTATAAAAATTACTTAATGAATTAAGTAACAGGTTTTAAAATGTGTTTATACTTAAATGAAAACAAAATGAACTATCTACATGTTAAAAAAAACAAACAAAAAAAACAGATTCGGTCCAATAGAAGCCATTTACCTAAACGTGAAAGAACATGAAATTTGAGCTATACATGTATCTGCAACAATCATCAAATTGCACTGCATTTTTGTCGATCTTTTCTTTTTTTTTATACAAAGTAAAGAGCAACAGCATCTTAAAGGGACCATACGTTCAATTCTCTCCATGCAGTTTAAAGTGTGCGTTTGCTCTAATTCTAGATCTACACGCTTGAATTAGATATGCGATATTCAATACACGCACACATTAGCCTGCTTTACATAAAGATTTGTATGCGATTCGTCCCGATTTCGTAGCGTAAGGCCTGTTTCTTCATTAAATATGGCACTCTTCATAGAAACATAGTAAGTTTGTCCTGTAGCAGAACTGTGTCAAAAGGATATGATCCCTCAAATGCTGTTTTTAACACTGGTTTCTTGCCTTGGATTGGCATGCCACACAACACCAGTGCGTTTGTTCTTACAGAGCACAGCAGAAAAGAAAATACTTAGTTTAACTTTTGTGTTTACTTAGAAATGGATTCAAAAACCAGAACAGAAACGCCACAATTAGCAACACAATAAACAAACTTTCATTTAGGGAACGAATAGCCGAAATCAAAAGACAGGTACACATGCATCACACTAACGTACGGTAACAACTCTACTCGTATCATGCAAAAAGAACGATCTAGTTTTCGTCGTTTTTTAATCTTTTTGAAATTTCCCACGTCGACCTGACATCAAAACACAGTACAATACTACAGTAGGTACATGTAAAAGGCCAATCCCATGAGCATGTCTTTCGGAGGGGATCCGTTTGCATATCGACACGTCCGCTGTCCATTCGATAAGACACGACTCAAGCGACGCCTCGCAAAAGTCACCTAGCTCTCGTTTGGAAAGTAGATCGACGCTCCCGGGACGAAGCTTGACCTCTGCGGTCGGGCTGCTGCTTTATTTGGTAGGCAGAGCAGGTCGCCTGCTAAAAGGTTTCAAGGGCAAAACATGGAGAATCACGAATATCTTGAAACTTTTGAAAAGCATCAGGAAATATCCAGGTCACATTTCACCCCAAAAATCACGAGAAGAAAAATAAATGTATACAAATGTATATGTATATATTGCATAAAGACTACATGGAATATATAGACCATTCATATATATGTTAATTGTCAGGAAAATGTAAAAAAAACAAACAAAAAAAAAGGCTACAAATATTAGAGATTACAAAAATATTTACATTTTTCATGGCAATTAACACATATGAAAATGTCAGATGGGCTAAAAAATTTATATGCATTATATATTCCATATTTATTAAATACATAATATATATATTATATATATATTAATGAAATACAAAACATATACAAAATTTATGAAAATGCCAAAATGGCTAAATATTGTGTGTAAAATTGTATGGTAAGTGTCATTTAAAAGTAAAAAAAAAAATGTGAATATATAATTTAAAATATTTTAACTTTACATTTTCATAACAATTAACAATGCAAATGTCAAAACATCTAATTGTCATGAAAATGTAATATATATATGTACACATACACACACATATGTTTATATATATATGTAAATATAACTTTTATGACAATTACCACATAATATTAGACATTTTTTGCAATTTATGAATCAATTAACATGTTTAAACCCCATATTCTCAGCACTGCAATATCCAAAAAAAAACAAATAAAAAAAAGTTTAAAGTATTAATACATCATAAAAAGATTTAGATTAATGCGGTGTAAATCAGTGTGCCTGGACAGGATTATTACAGTATTACATGTTGCATTACACTAATGTATTACAGTAAAGGTGTTTTTGCATTAGGTAATGAGAATTTGAATGAATGTGCTTAAATGTCATGAAAATAAATGCATATATATATAAAATGCATAATAAATGAAAATAAAATTTAAAAAATGTTCACGTGATTTTGGAGTGAAATCTGACCTGTGCATTTCTTCATGGCACTCTTCTAGTGTTGTGCATCGAATGCAGTCGACAGCGGCTTCGGAACAAGAGAAACTCTTCATGTAAGTGTGAAAACGGGAACACTGTAACCGAAAGCAGCACAAAACGCTGAAATAATGCAAAACACGTGTAGCTGCGACCGTAACATTCCTCGGAGGGGGCCTTCGTGTCATTTCACACGAGTCTAATGGGAACACTCAAACCTTCAGACAAAACACACACGTAAAAAAACATACTGGAGTCATTATCGAGGCACAGACGTTTATGCTCGCAGAGAGGCAAAGCGTCAGAGAAATCTCTCCAAGGCTGATGAAAGAAAAACAACGCTAATGTCACGGGGTGCAAAGAAATTCCTGAATACTTTCTTCGTTATTGCATCAGCATTTTCTAACCGGTACGGGATTAAACACTTTGTGCAATTAGTTTTGTGTAACATCTCTAAATACTTCGGGGGAATTGCGTAACCATATGATTTTTAGTGCTAAAGAGCCAAAATCATGTGCTAAGACACAATAAACCCATTAATCTACACCATAACAACAATAACCCAAGATGTTCTCACTCTGCAATATGATACAATTAGTGGGCATTTTGTATATGTTATGAAGCCCATTAAGTAAATTAAGTGAAATGAACGTTATATCAACATTAGACAAACGTTAAATCAATTTTCCCCAAAAATGTTTGTTTTGTTTCAAAGATGTAGCAATTCATTGAAAACAAACGGGAGCAAAACAAGTCTCTAAATTTAGTGCTTAAGATAATAAAAGCTGCATTAGCGTTTACTTGTGGTGATGACAT